AATTACCTGAATTCACCCTAAATATTAGCATGTATCCAGCAGGGGTTATAAAATCTNTGAGAATCTACAATGTAAATAGTCATGAAAATAAAGAAAACGCATTGAATGAGAAGGTGTGTCCAAACTTTTGGCCTGTACTGTATATATATATATATATACATATATTATGTGTGTGTGTGTGTGTTTGTTGTAGTTTCTCATAGTTTAATGTACGTTTTATGAGATATTGAACAAAGTAGGATCTAAAGAGCACGTTCTGAGATATGCTGACTAATTCTGACAGACAGCGGAGAAATTTTAAGCCATAGTCATAGTAGTGGAGGTTTGTGCCAACCATCATGTGTGGTGTTTTGATTTGTTGGTGAGTGTTCTGACTCACCTGCCATCAAAAGTTCATTATCACTGTGCTGTTCCAGAACACTGACGTAAGGTTCTTTATGTGCAGACTTTCTTTTTCTGTTGAAAAAGAAAATCCTGATCCTATTAAAAATACCCAACCATTGTGAATGGCAGCTTCTGTAGAAAATCCTCATATTGCCAATGTACCTATTGGAGGTCAAACAATTCTTTAGAAACTGTGAAGAGGCAGCAGAGCAGAACGCATAATTACGCCGGGTCTCTTTTGTTAAGAGCAGATTGTTGCACAAAATTCAGCCAGTACAACACATCTCTCCTAATCAGGATCTATATCTCTCCGTCTCTCTTCCTCCTCCTCTTTCTCCTATACCGCCTTCTCCCACTTATGTGTAGCTCGTATCTTACTGTCTGATAGATGCTGCCACTTGACTCCGTCGCAGATAGACCCATTTATATCTCTGTGTCTCATCCACAGAGATAAAACACACTGACAAATTTCTCATGTTGAATCTAAAGTGATGTGCTGGATGATGCACAGTCATCATGACCATTACAGTCACACACATTAGTGACTTATCATTTGGTTTGATTGATTGACAGTAAAAAAAAAAAAAAAAAAAAAAATCCAGCACTGAGATATCACTCAAGCGTTTTATTCGAGTCACGGTTGGACAGTACGCAAGCCATGCAGAAACAAGGCATTATGTAATTTCTCCCACATCAGTTTTGCTTATGCACAGAGCATCTGCAGCTCATTCCACACTAATTAATGACATTCAGAAGTAGTAAATGTACTTTCCTCTGCATCAATCGGAATCAGGGACAAATTGAATAGCCTTTTTAATCTGGCAGTGTGTGTGTGCACATACAAGATGCAGACTCAGAAGTGTTTGTGCTGGAGAGCCACTGGAGGTTATGTTTTACAGACTGGCAGCCAAATGAACTGTCACATAAACAGCCTCAGTTCTCTCTCATAAATATTTTTGCTTCAGTCTGAAAAGTGAGATTTCAAAGTGACAATGTGGGACACAGTGACTGTTTGCCACCAGCTGGCCCTGGTTATTGTGTATTTGAACATGTGTACATGTCCTTGTTTTTGTGTCGCTTTCTGTTTTCACTTTGTTATTAACCTCACAGCAAACATCCATTGCCCTATTATTCTGTCCTCACTCCGCCTGACCCTCCTCTGTTATTAGACAATATTGGCGTATTTCTTGCGTCTGAGTAAACTGTTGTTAAAGGCAACGATTGTTTGCTTTTCTAAATCCTGTGAGATCCAACAGTAATTTCACAAGAGGAGGAGAAGTCTGATATTGTGAGCAAATACTCCCAACGTAAGATTTTTGCTGAAAGACTCTGGGGAAAATGGTTCAGTACAAAATAAACTGAGAAGTAACAGCATTTGTAAGACAGTCTTAGACTCTATTCCCAAACTGTAACCAAATAAACATAGATGTAGCCACAGTGCAGGATAAAAAGGTATTTCTATCATAGTCCACAGACATACAAGTCCAGCTCTGCTTCATCTGTCTGATCCCAGATGTATTGTTTCAAAGCATGTATGTATCCTTTGTTGGTAATGCCATGTCTTTCAGTCTAGTGCCTTGGTATACAATACGGGTATAGACTGCAGGTAATTGCAGTCTATTGTTAAATGGAATTCAAATCATCTCATTATAGCTACATTTGTCTGCTCTGCTCAGGATTTGCTGCTCTGCAGCTTTGAAGATGGAAATGTAGGGGTTTTATTACATTATGGCCGTTCTCCTGTGAAGTGCATTTCCTGTTCTGCCGTCCCTGAGTGAAAGGAAAAGTCACCGGGAGCTTCAAAAGCCGGGATACATGATCTACATGCTAACATATTCTGCTCAGCCACCTGCGCAAAAAGCACAAACTGAAATGCCATTTCAGTGTCCATGCTGCAGAACGACTGCTCAAAAAAAGAGAGACATGCCAAATTTCTGTCAGCTCTGTAACAGGCAGGCAGTATATAGCAGTGCAGGACTGAACAAACCAGGAGAAAGAAAAAAAATCACCCCAGGGGAGAAGCTTATCATGGCATGGTGTTCCCTTTGTGCCACCATATCACACTGTCATGCAGAATGCTGCCAACCCCACTGCTCCTTTGAGCCACAGAACAAGAGACCTTGTAAACCTTTTTTTCTTTTTTCGCTTTTGGTTTGAGTTTAAAAGGCCATTTGTCTGCTCTGGTGAAATGTCAACCTGTGCACCAGGATCTTTTGCTGAATGTTAAAAATGTCGTCTCATCTTTTGTTAAGTTCTGATATGAAATCTATGACTCATTTACACAGGCGTGAGCTTTTAATCTAGTCTATAATAAAGTAGTCATTGATTTCTTTATCTATTGTTACAGTGACAATGTGTTAACAATATGACAATGTGAAAGTCATTGCTCATAGTGACGATCCTAACAACATGATCTCATCCATTTTATTTTTATCATATTTTAGCACTCGGGCAGAAGCTCCTGGCTCTTTTGCATTGTATCTTCTTGACACAGAAGGTTTTGACAGTTAGGTTTAGGCAACAAAACTATTTGGTAAGGGTGAGGAAAACATGTGGTTGAGAAAGTTTCTCTGGTGGGCTCCTGTTTAATGGTATCCAACATAACCGCCAGGACACAAAGGTTCTCATTTTACAGCTAAACAGTACACTAAAATATGTTTCTGAAAACATTTGAGGCAAGACAGAGGCACTGCAGTAACAGTATCTTGATTCATATTTGATCAGCACTGCCTGATTGACATGATTTATGACTCCTTGTCTCTGATTGGTTGTTTTTGTTCACGTGCAGTAAGGTCATTAGAAGTGGTACAGGGCAATGGAGTTCACCAAGGAATGTGATTTTTTTCACAGATTATCGGTATCATTTAGTGCTGTGTGAAATATAGTGACACTTTCAGCAAATATGAAAAACATTATTTTTTTAGAGGTTACCAGTTGTAGCTTTAATGTATCACTTATAACAGTGGTTCCAACTGGTCCAGCCACGGGGTCCAGATTTTTCCTTAGTTATTAGTTCCAGGTCCACACAGTCTAATATACTCAGTGTCATACTAGCGTTTGGCCATGTCGTAGAGCTAGTTTGCTGTCTCTGATAAGTAGCGGTCCATTGGTTACTCACTCTACAGCAAGAAACTGCACTTCAAAATAAAAGCTCTGGGCCAAGACAGTGCCATTCTACTTCAAAATAAAGTGTGTTTTGTTGCAAATTTGACATTTATGCGAGTCATTTGCGGTCCAATCAGAACGGACCAGCAACCCACAGTTGGACCGTGATCCACCAGTTGGGAACCACTGAGCTGTAATATTAGAGTAATAATATATAATCATATGGGACTCACATTTCTGTAGCTGTTGATGTAATGTCGCCCTAATGTGTCATGCCCCGATGCGTGACAACATATAGTTTATCATCACATACATGTTTTGATTTTCTCCGAACATTTCTCCTCTCCTTTCTGACATGTTTGAATAAGAGAAAAATGGTGTTAAGACAGTGTGATTTAACTTGAAGGGTCATGAATCCCAGAGTTTCCATACCTATGCTATGTGTCCTTCTACTACCTTTAAATGGAACTGCACTTTTGAGCATGGTGGTGGAAATTAATCACGAGCTTGAAAAGTCATGGAAAGTTTTGAAATTTTGTCCTTGAAAATGTGTGGGAGCCCTTGTAAATGTGTTTGGACTGAGCTTCCTTTGCCCTCTCCCAAAATCTGCTTCATTTAGACATGACCACAACCAGTACTAATCCTGTGAAAAGTTCAAATGAAACTACAAAAGTCATAATAAACATCATATAGTCATATCATCATGAGTGAATTTGGCCCGTTGCAAACCAAGGCAGTTGCACAGTATGCATACATACATGATAATGTGTGTTGCCAATGAATAACATCTTAAATTCAGCTATGACTAATATAAATGTGTCCAATGATGAGTCACTTTTGCAACACGGCTGATGTCACCACAATCTTGCCCATGTGTTTCAGCCACTTTTGTAATTTATTAGATATTGATTTCATCCACAGAGCCCTTTCCTCTTGTCCTCTAGATTTACTCCCAGGAAACAAATTAACTTTGGAAATTGAGTTGTGATGATTTTGGACTCCAACACCCAAATGATGAGTATGACGCATCAAATTTCTCTGCAGTGTTTCTACAGTACTTGAGGTTATTTGCTGTATAAATATAATATGATACTGAGGCAAAATTTCCTCATTTGTTTGACTTGTTGCCGTAGTTGCTGATAGCAAAGTCTGTGTTGTTATGCTATGTTTATTCATATTTGAGTTGCCACTGCTGAGTTTATTGGCTTTGAAAAAAACTGCAGTGGTTTCTCTCATGATTTATTCAAAAATAAATTTTTAGGGCCTGTCTGATACATA